TTGAAATTATCCCATGCATATTATCTGACCACAGTGCAATGAAATTGGAAATTAATGACAGAAGGAACTCCAAAAACTCCATAAACACTTGGAAATTAAACAACAACCTCCTGAACAACCAATGGGTCACAGAAGAAATTCAAGAGGAAATTAAAAAAATACCTACAAACAAATGAAAATGTTAACACAACTTACCAGAATCAATGGGATGCAATGAAAGCAGTCATCAGAGGTAAATTTGTAGCAGTGAATTCACACATAGGGAAAACAGAAAGAGAAAAAAAGTAGCCTAATGCTACTCTCAAACTTTTAGAGAAAGAAGAACAAGACAGGCCCATAGACTTGAGTCACCAGTGTTACTGATGTCTCTGTCCAGAATCATTGCTTTTAAATATGTTATCTTCCTCATTCTACCTTTAAAAGCTTTCCCTTAGCTCAGCCACTTTGAAAATGTTCAAAGTTTACTATGAAATTTGTATTCTCATTATAATACTCTTCTATTCCCATATAAATATCAGGAGACTCTGTGTTATCTGGTGTTCACCAAGTGGGTCCTGAATCAAGGCCACCTGCAGAGACAGTGGGTGACTCCTAGCGCCAGGTGTGGTATTGACATTGGGCCTTGTGTGCGCTCCTTTTCTACAGCTCACTTTTTCTGTCTTACTGAGACTTCTTTCATGTTGGACACTCCTTTTTGTGGGTGGGGAGCTGATAATCAAACCCAGGGCTTGTATGTGCTAGGCAAGTACTGTACCATTTGGTTTTATCAACAGCAATCCTGCCTCAATCTGGTAGATCTTCTACGGGTTTTCTTGGAAATAGTTTTGGATAAGGCCTCCTTACATAATATTTCTTGAATCCGTTTTTGGAACTCTAAGAAACTTTTGTGATTTCTGACAAGCTCTCCTCGTGAAAGAGCACTGTCCCGTTGAACATTCAGGTTCCCACACAACTTACATCCTGTGAGATTTCACATCTCTTCTGATGAATTCTCTTTTGTTCCTGTACATCTAGCTTTACATGTTTGATCAGGATGCCTAATTTAATACTTTTTGATAAGCACATGTTTTATGTTTGTTCTACTTTATAAATGGTTTCTGTCTTTTACTTTTTTTCTCCTTACTAATTTCTGAGAACTTTTTTGAGATGACAACTACACATTCTGAACGATGGGCAATTGAAAGCCAGGGGTGTAGGCACCATCACTGATGAGGGATTTTCATTTCCATAGGTGCATAATCTTGTGTGAATTTTACTTGACCACAGACACCTGAGGTTGCTAATAGGGCATCTGTCAAGCATGAAACAATTTTCATGTCACTAAGGAAAACTTGGTCAGAATCAATAAAGTAGTGTAAGGACCTCCCACCAAATAAAAGTGCTTTACCAGATATACTTATTAAAGCAAGACATTTTCTTCAAACCCTTAATGTTCCCTAGTAGGTTGATAAGATTCTCTTTGCTGAAAGCAAAGAAACAAATGGCTACACAAATTCTCAAAAACAAAAACTGACCAAACACATTCACTGGAAGAAAGAGAGCCTCTTTCATAAATGGTGCTAGAAAAACTCCACATGGCAAAGATTAACATTAGATACATATCTTTCACCATACACTCAACTAATTTTTTTTTAAATTTTTTTTGGTTTTTCTCTGGTACCAGGAATCGAACTCCCGACCTTGCGCTTGCCAGGTAGGCGCTGTGCCACTGAGCTAAATCCCCAGCCCAAAGCTTTTCTTTTCTTTTTTTTTTTTGGTTTTTCTCCGGTACCGGGAACCAAACTCACGACCTTGAGCTTGCCAGGCAGGCGCTTTTGCCGCTGAGCTACATCCCCAGCCCCACACTCAACCAAATTTGAAATGGATCAAAATGTAAGTAGTAAAGCAGAAGCATTAAATTTACTGGGAGACAGAAAAGGTAAACCTCTTGAAGACATTGGTATAGGCAAAGTATTACAAATAAAATCCCGACTGCACTGGAACCATCACAAAGAATCAACACATAGGAATATCATTTTATTAAAAAACTTTTCCACAGCAAAAGAAACTACAAAGAGAGTGAAGAGATAACCCTCAATGTGGCAATAAGATTGTTCTAGCTCTATATCAGAAAAGGATTACTATTGAGATTATATAAAGAACTCAAAAAGGAGACCTCCCAAATTTAAATACCCAAACCAAAATGGACATCTGAGATGAATGCACACTTCTAAGATTAAAAACAAAATACAAGCAGCAATAGCCAGGCATGGTGGTGCACATATCTAATCCCAGCACTTGGGAGGCTGAGGCAGGAGGATCATAGCAAGTTTGAGACCAGCCTGAGCTACAAAGTGAGCTCAGGGCAGCCTGAACTGCACAGCAAGCCCCTGTCTCAAAAAAATGAACAAAAAAAGAAAAAGAAAGGAAGAAAGAAAGAAAGAAAGAAAGAAAGAAAGAAAGAAAGAAAGAAAAAGAAAGAAAGAAAACAGATATGAACAGCAAATAAGTATCTGAAAAAATGTTTAACATCATTGGTCATTAAAAAGATGTAAATTAAAACAACACTGAGATTCTATCTCACCCTGAAAAGAATGGCTGTCATCAAAAAAAATCAACCACCAACAAATGGGGAAAAAGGAACCCATCTCCACTGGTGCAACCTCTGTGGAAACCAGTGTGGAGATTTCTCATAAAACTAAGATTGGAGCTCCCATTTGACCCAGCAATTCCCTTTCTAGGTATCTTCCCAGAAGAATTAAAAACACTATACTTCAATGATGTATGTGCACCCATGTTTATAGCAGCAGAATTTGTAATACCTATACCTTGGAAAGAACACAAATGCACGTCAACCAAGGAATAGATAAAAAGATGTCTTTTTATACAATGGAGTATTACTCAGCCATGAAGAGGATAAACTGGAGACTTTTGTAGGTAAACGGAGACAATACTCCTAAGTTAAAAATATCAACCCCAGTATGTATAAACATCATGTTGTTTCAATAGTGTGAGAAGCTAAATGGGTAAACAAGGTACAAAATGTAAAATCTATTATTATAAAATAGGAAAAAAGCTATTCAAAAGGAAAGAGAAATGGAAGGGGAAAGTAGAAAAAAAGGAAAAGAAAGCAAATATATATATATATATATATATATATATATATATATATATATATACACACACACACAGATATGTGATAGTTAAGATAGTTATACTATTACTGTCTCAGAGTTTACTGAAAATAAAGGTTCGTCCTAATATTGTTCAGACAGTTAAATGCTGATATCTTGTACTCTGAGTAACTAATTTAAAGATAGCAATATATAATATATTAAACATTATTTCATATTATCTTATTATTTGAAATTTTGTTTCATTTTTTGCTCTTTAAAATAAAAATCTCAAGAAAATAGAAATACAAGGCCTTTATCTTAATCTCATAAAGGCTATCTATGACAATCAATGGCTAATATCATGTTTAATGGTTAGAAGATGAAAGCTTTCCTTCTAGATTCAGGAACAAAACAGGGACATCCACTATTACAGTTTTTTGTGCAGTGTAATTACAAAATGCTAGATAAAGCAATTAGAAAAGAGAAAGAAGCACACTAAAAGGATATGGGTAGAGAATAAAGTGAAGTTATCATTATATACAGATGACATGATTCTCTATGGAAAAGACCCTAAAATCTTCACCAACAGATGAGAATTAATAACCAAATTCAGTAGTGTACCAGGATATAAAGCCAACACTCAAAAATGAATAGAGTTCCTGTACACCAGCGGCAAACTTACTGAGAGGATAATTAGAGAAAAAAAGCCTTCACCACAACATCAAGAATAGGAAACATACCCAGAATAGGAAAATCTATGAAGACAGAAAACTGAGTGGTTTCCTAGTTTCTGATGGGAGGATCTGGAAGATGGTGCCTGCAGGTAGAGTGTGTTTTGAGGGGGTAACAACAATGATCTAAGTTTGATTGAGGTCATCATTGTACACATTGGTCAATGTGCTAAAATATACTGCATGCTACATTTTAAGTTTGTAAATGGTGTGGTATGCTAATTTTATTTCAATCAAGCTGTTATTTGAATGAAACTTAAAGAATAACCAATTAAAGAAGTCTGTGACTACCTATGAGTATCAATGTTATGCAGCTCTCTCTATAATTGAATAATTGTGAAAATGGTAAGTTCAACAAGTTCATTTAATTTTCACAGAGTATTTTACTAAGAAATAAATAATAGGTTTAAATTTGGGTCAGCTAGTGCATATACAGTCTCATTATTGCTCAAAATAATGTTTAAACATATTATTTTTTTCTTTTTAGTGGTTAGATATTCAAAGTTTTGTAAAAGAAAACCATTGCCACTGCTTTTCTTGACATTATTACCATGATATATTGACTGACAATTACTTATAACATTTATATAGATGAGCATTTCCATACATCGCAATGATAATCATCTCTCTTTTCCAACCAGTGGTTTGAGAACATCTCAGTTAGGCAGAACCGGCCCCCACTTAGTTTCCTTCCTGTCTGTGGGTTGCATTGTACAGCATGCTGTGCATCCATAGGTAATGTCTGTAGATGTTTAGAGACAAGATGTGGAGAATTTTGCATTTTATATTGCTCTCAAAAGCACAGGCTTTAAAAATGGCTGCACACAATATTTGCCCCTTGTTCCATCTTCACTTTTTCTGTGTGTATTTACAGAATACAGAGGTATATGAATACAGAGGTAATATGAATTTCTGATTTTTGTGTCCTCAGTATCCTATATCATGAGGTGGTAGAAACATCTGACTAGAAGGATAAAGTGAAAAAATAGAGAATTACTTGGAGAAGGAGGGAAATCTAATATTATACTCTAATAGCACTGAACTAAACTCTCAGAACCTCAGCTAATACTCTGAACTAACAGGCCATATTCTTTTCATTTTTTGTCTTACTGTCCAGTTATACATGAATGTCTGGTAAGAGAAAATTAGTAACTAGATAATATTGAAGGCCACATGCAGAAAAGGTTGTTTATTGTTCAAATCAAGTATATTACTAGGTTACAAAGTTTGAGGAAAGAAGCTAGTTTGGACAAACAAAATTGTGCAAATCAAGTAGAAATTTTATAGGATATACTTTGTATTTTCCAAGTGATTTCAATGCTAAAATCCTACAAGAAAAAATATTTGCCTTAATGATATGCTGTGAAATTAACTAAACTCACCATGCTATCTGCCCTAAGTCATGGGCTACATCCCTATAGCTGATCCTATTCTTCCCCTTCTATCTTTGCTCATGCCAATGTGATTCTCTCAAATTTCAAACAGTACTTTTTCTAACCCCATTTGACAGGCCATTTTCAGAATTTTTCTTTTTCCTTCCTCTGTAAGTTTTCCACTTCTATACAGCCCACTGCTTCCCTTTGGCTTGCCTTCTTCACTTCCCCAGAGTCTCCTTTTAGTCCCATGAGATTAATAGTCACATTTTTCTTAGTAAGTTGAGATCAGTTTATATTGAAGTCTCTCTTCTCTATTTTAGTTCTTTGAATAAAATCTCCCACAGTACTATTAAAAATCTTCCTCTGATGTTCTTTGACATATACAAATACTCCAGTGAATTACATTTTATTCAAATAGAATATGTTTTTGAAAATACAACAAAATCTTCAGGCTTCCTGTTTTTTTTTTCAAAGCAACAAAATGTGATTCCAGTGACTCTCCTTTTTTAAAATTTATGATGAAATACATATTAAAACTAAAGTAGAATTATTATGGGAACACTGAAATTTGAAGTATGCCTGCCTTAAATAGCATTAAAATTATGGGTAAATCAAGAGGGCAAAGGTCCTATAAATAATGGAGTACCATCTTGTAATGACTGATTCATGACAGTGGAATTAAGTGAAATGCTCGAACTTCTAATGCCATACACCCTAAAGACTCTACTCCCTCTTTTTCTTCTTTCCTACCTTGGCAAAATTTTGAAAACAAAACAAGCAACATTTTATGACAACGAAAGTAACGGTCACCACACAAGCCAGCAGGAAGCCAATCACATCCAAAGAGTGGTACTGGTACCAGGTGAGGTTCTGGGCAAGTGGCCGCAGGTGCTTGGCACCTCTGTGGCGCATGACAAACTCGATCCAGAAGACTGCTCGGTCCAGGGGCTTCATTAGCTGATCATGGTGAATTGTTGATAACTTCATAGCGTTGCTTTTATAGCTGAAGGAAAATTAAGTAAGTTCAAAACTATTTTAGAATTGGCAGAAAGTGAAATTTTGTACGTTGTAAAACTGAATGCCTGAAAATGTTAAAAACAAAACAAAACACAGCCATAGTAAGAGTTTGAAATCAGGACCACAACTCAAAGACGAAAGTCAAATACTTCCATGGTACATATTACATTTGTGAGTAAGCTTTTTAAGCATTACAATATCAACTAGAAACCAATATTGAAATTTTATCCATAGTGTAGTCGTTAAAACTGTAAAACACACTTCCTTTTTTGAATACTGCATAGGCTTTTATTTGCTGTTTTTATAAATATCTCTGTTTTGACTTCATAGATAAATGGAAAATCTAGACTTCTTACAACATTCATGTTTCCTGTTTCATTGCTTTCTTCATATTTACTTGTCATTCTTCTGTTCCCATCCTGTGATTCATATCATTCCATTTAGAAGCTGTTTCAAAAGTTTGAACTTTGCTTAAACCTTGCATAAAATTTTCTAACAAGAACACCGCAAATATTTATTGTGATACCCTCACTTGGTACCCATGACAGATTTAGCATTGAGCAAATTTGCATTTCATTATTTTTCTTTAAGACTCATTGGTACTTCCTTGGGCTTCATGTAAGAATTTATTAATAAGTATTATGAGGAACGTTTTAAAAGTTTGTACTCACAGAGGGTTGTTAATGACTGTCTTCAGTGCATTTAGCAAATCTGTCCTTGATAGTGTTTTGAATTCCAGCTTAACAGCTGCTCCTTTAGCCTCCATTTGACCAATGTTATCATATTGTTCTGCAAACAAAGGAATGCCCACCATAGGGATTCCATGGTAGATTGCCTCATAAACACCGTTGGCTCCGCCATGCGTTACAAAAGCTCTGGTTTTTGGATGACCTAAGATTAGGTGAATGTCAGAACAATAATTAGTCATAGGTGTTAGAAATACAATGAGAAATGTACAATATGAGTCACTGAATGGGGTGTTGTATAGATAAAGATACTGTACCTATGAAACTCTACTGACATTGCTTTCATCTGTGAACAAGTAGGATCTAATCCACTGAAAGGAAAGTGAATGCTACCTGGCATATCTAGGGTATGTCTTTAATAATGAATACATGATTATCAGGGAAAGTCCATGTAATGTGATAAAATAAACCAAGTGCCATAGAATGTTATGTGTGTATTGTGTGTTGTGGAATTTGTTGTATTAATGGGTAGTTCATTCACTAATTCTGAGGAAGATTGTACAAGTCAGCAAGAAGCGGCATCAGGATGAATGAGACTGTGATACTAAGTCATGCTAAAAATTTGAATTTTTCCAATTAATATTAAAACATCATTGAAAATAACTCGAGTGTTATTTTGAGTAATATTTGCAAATCCCTATTTGTGTGGAAAGACTGGAATTTGGTATTTCTTAAGCAATGTTTGAATTAGAAACAGAAAGAGAACCCTGGAATTTATTAAAACATCCTCTCTGAGAAACAGGTACATGGGAAATGAGGACCTTAATATCGTTTCTAAATATACCAAAAAGCCAGGTATAACAACTTAGTTTGCGGAGCTGGGGATTTAGCTCAGCGGCACAGTGCCTATCTGGCAAGGGCAAGGTCATGAGTTTGATTCCTGGTACCGGAAACAACAACAAAAACAACAACAACAAAAAACAATTTAGTTTGCTTTCCCTAAGACCTGAAATATGTAGAATGAAATTAGATTCAGTTGTTCATCTTGCAGCAACACATGCTTCCCTGCTTTGTTTCGTCTTGTGCAATCATCAGCCTTACTGACTTAGGTAATCATTATTTGCTCTTGCATCTCACCAAGCAGGTCATTCTGGGGGAGCCACTTGAACAACCGAGTGTTGGGTCCTAAGGTATCTGGTTTCTTGCCATCAAATCTCCAAAGAACCTGTTAGGTAAAGACTGCATTATACCATATGTTGACTTGAAAAATTTAGAGACCACCAAGTCAAATGTGTTTTTAGAATAGATTTTAAAATGAGGTCAAGGAGTCTAAATATCAAGAACTACAAAAGAAGACACAAATAGAATACAAATATTTTCTATACTTATTTCATACTTAATCGGTGTGTATATAATCATGATATTCCATGCACACTGACTTAGACAAATGAGATATTATGGACTAAATTAAATTATTTTAAAAATTTGTATGCAAATCCTTATATTTTATGAGGGATAAAAAGTTTCTAATGGTTTGAATCTTCATTAATGTACATGTTTGTTATACTGTCTTGTCCTAAAATTAACATAACTGATATTATTTTTGTTTCCTAATAATCATTTGTTCCAGAGGCTATTTTATTAATTTGCATAAAATATCATTTTGATTGCAAAATATCTAATCCACATAATCACCTTTTGTCAGAAATCAATTAATTGGGTTTTAGAAGTATGGATAAATTGTTTTGTATTAAATTTTAATCTCTTAATATAGAAAAAGTTTTAATAGGCATTTTTGACAAGAAGACATTGTATTTATCACTATTGCTAGGATTGGAAACTAAATTAAGGAAATAGAGTTGGTTTGCAACTCATAAGCAATGTACCTTTTCTAAAACTGCATACTCTTACATGATTAAATTTTCTTCAACTCATTCTGTACTCTGCCGTGATGCATTGCAAAATGTTGACAGCAGAGATTAACATGGCCCACCATAGCCTAAGCATTGCATTGCCCTGTTCTAAAATGAGGTACTGGTTTTAAAACTTCTAAACTCTTCTCCTAAACTGGAGCATTGCTTACAAATATTTGAGTTCTATTTACTGTGGGAATGTTAAAGTTGACTTCACGTTCTCAGCTAAAAGTTGGCATAGGAGATTACAAAACTGTTGTATCGGACAGCAAGTAAAACCTACTGTAGTTCATAGCTACTCAAAGATTAAGCTTGAATTAGATATTTTAGACAGTTAATCCCTATTATAAGTTATGTAGAGGGTATCTGAACATTTTCCCCGACGCAAGTTTCTTCCAGTTCTACTTTTACTTCCCTTTTGCTTTCTTGGTTATGAGGATATTAAGCTGGTGAGGAAAAATTAAAGCGGAGTCCTTGTGGAGCATATTTCATAATGTGCAGGTTCCAGTATAAGAGAAGAAGCCATCTCCAGTATAAGGGAAGAGGTGTTTCACCCCTTCCTGCTTCAGATATAGGTGCTGCTCACTCAGATTAGTTTTCTTTTCATTTTTTAATTAACATAGATAGTGAGTATTGAATTCTGAATTTCCCACTCTTGCTGTTCTCCACTCTGAGTATCCCCTTGAAATGTACACTAAACAAGCCGATTCCAAAATTCAGATCAATAAGGAGAAGATATGAAATTTATTTCAAACCCTTTCAATACCTGTTTATTTTTTGTGATAGTGCATTATTAAGAAAAATGTAACTCTTTCTGAGTCATCGCTTATGTGTACAGTGACCTCAACAATTCTGTAAGATAAAAGAGCAAGTTTCTGAAAGCAGATCTTTGCAGAGCTTAATGATTTATCTAGTAGCAATCTGTCGTTGCGACACTTTGCCAACCTTTTGTGGAATCTGTGCAAGGGCTGAAGCAATCACATTTGCTCTCTCTTCTGTCATGTTACTGACCATCGACCCCAGAGAAAACACCACAACTCCATGTTCTCCAGAGCTCTGCACAAAGTTTTCCATTTCCTGGGATGAAAGAATTGCTCCATCAGAAAAATTAGAAGAAAAACTAAACAGACAGGATCACAGCAAACACTATTGAAAAGTGTAATTTAAAAATGAAAATGATACAAAAGAGGATTAATACAATTATTAGAGAGTCTGGTAAAAGTTTCACAAGATAAAGTTCACCATCTTCAACATTTGAGGTGAAGATACAGAAGGAGAATGTTAATGATATTTTTGTGGAGTCGATGCTCCAAATAATTATTTCTTGTACAATTAAAGCTTCATATTTAATAAATTTTATATGACTCTTAAAAAAATCTTTACTGTCACTTCTGCTTCCATTTAATTCTAGAAAAAGAGTGTGATTTAATTCAATTTCTTTTCCCCCTCATTTTCATCTCACATTCTTATTATGGTTGATTTATTGTTGTTGAAGATTATTTTGGTGACACAATTATAGTGGCAAGAAATACACATATAAATGTTATTTAATCTGAAGTTTCTTTTATAGCATATTTGTGTTACCAATGCTTCTTAGGTAAAACAGTTGTGATGATGTGTTAGATACCTATTTTCATTTTCAATTATTTCCTAAATTTGGATGTTTAGGTTACTTCCAAGTTTTATTTATATAAATAATTACTAGATAGATGGATGAGTGCATCTTGATTATTTTTCTTCACATACATTCAAATGAGTATCCTATATAGCCAAAGGGTATAAATGTTGATAAGACTTGATGCAAGTTTGTAAATTTCTATTTTGTGCACTGTAGTAAGGGCTATTATTAGAAATTTTGGCTATTCACTGTCTTTCTGTGTTCTTTCTGCATTCTTTCTCTGCTTCTTGTATGTTTTGCTCTTACTAATGCTGTTATATTTTGATTAAGAAATCTTTCAAGTGTATAGATTATTGTTTAATATCTACATAATACTACTTCAAATATTTGACTTGTGGAATTCTTGCACAGTCTAAATAAATTACATTCAAAAAGATATTGGATTTTTACCACCACATCAGATTTCAGTGTTTATATTGCTGTTATAAAGAAAGTAAACAAAAAGAACATTTAAAAACATTATATGTAGTGCAACAAGAAAAAATTTCATTTCTACATATATCCTAGAAATATAATATCAATTTAAAATACCTTAGATTTTTGTGTCCTTTTATAAGGAATGTCAACCTGTACACTGCCAGAGTTCTTTGTGATTCACATCAAAATGATTTTCAGAGAGCTCTTAGGAACTATGAGTTACTTAATTCATATTCAGTGTTTTTTTTTTCTCTGCCCTCATTCTGCCAGGTAATCTTGATGCTAGGATCATATCAGAGGAGCGAACTCTCCTGAGGTATCCGACAGCCTTGGTGTATGGTATTAAATACATGTTTTAAGAAAGTAATCCATCTGTTTTGGACACTAAGATGTAAAATTCTGGTATATGAGGGAGGAATGGTTTTGAATCTATGCAAGAAAAGAAAATGTTAATCTTGACAGCAAAGATAGCTATGGGTTCAAAAGCACACCATGGTGTAATGTTCTTTCTGTAATATGAAATACTAATGAAGAACATCAATGGCTCCTATAACATTATCTCATTTCATCTATTGCCTGAACTTATGCATTTGCTTTTAAAGAAGTCTGAAGGATTTCCTCCCATTATGACTTTATTTGAGCTATTATGTTCAATTATTTAGGTGACAGATCTCATTTAATGAAAATGCATCTAATGTACTTCTCAAATATTACATAATTAGTATCAGAAACAAGATATCAACAGCATCAATAGAATCTCAATTAATTCTGGACCATTGAATAAATGCTGCAGATATTCCCTTTAAAAGTATTTAAAATTTTATTCCTACAAAACTCAATGTGAAGTTCTTCTTTGATTACATCAGTTGGAGTTGCATTTGTATGAATACCTCTGTCAGGATTTCAGTCATATCTTACAAATATCTTTGAAATGCTTCCCAATGCTACCGTCCTGAATATCTGCAATCTAATCTGTTGGTGCCATCTTCATGGATGTTTTTTCTACAAGAGGAAATCTGATCATCTTTTTCTAGTTCAATTTTTCTCTGTGTCACCAATGCTTTGATTAAATATGTTTGACGCTATTATCTGCTTCTAAATTAGCTATCTAGCCAAATTAGCATCCTGATAAAATAAGCTTGCAGTTCTTGAGATATGTTCTCACTATTTTAACAGCTGTTCCGTTTTGTATCTTCCTTGACTGCCCATCACTTGGCCTATTCCCGCACCTTGCTCATTTTTTATTATCAATTCTAATGGGATAGTACAATCACAACTGAAAGTTTTCTTAGTATTACAGTGTTTCCCCTTAAAAATTATACTCCACACAATTTTTATTACTTAATTATATTCTATCTTTCCAAATAGTATACAAGACTGAGGGAGAGGTACAGTGTCTATGTTATTTCTATGCTTATCTAACACTATTAGTGAATATTTGTCAGCTCATAGATTTTGAATAACAGAAGAATTATGATGCAAATAATGAAGGCCACAATTTAATAGACTCTATTCTGAATACCTCCTAAGACTCCTGTGTTTTTTGTAATGGTAAAGAAATGCAAATACTTGTGATGAAATCAAAATATAATGTTTTCAAGCAAAGTCTTTCTATGCAATCCTTGAATCTGCTATGTTGCTCAGGTTTATGTGAATTCTGGTTCTCCTGCCTCAGCCTCTGGTATTCTAGGATTACAGCCTGTGGTACCATGCCTACCTGAAATATGAGACTGTAATTGGCAAGGCACTTTTGCCCTCTTCTCATATCTTTCTCATTTTGAGTCAAGACTCTCAATGAGTAGTGCAGAGCATTCTCACTGAAAAATAAAATAAAAATGAAGGCAGGTATATATTTACCTTAGGTAGAGGTCTGGCAGGTTTGCAGTGGAGTCCTCCAACAAAGTCAACATTTGGTAAGGTAGGGCGAGGAAATTCCAAATCCCAGTAGCTCCGAATAAGCCACATATCTGCCTGTTTCATTTTCTCATATAATGTAGTGGGTTTTCCTGTATTGGGGAGGATAAAAAAATAGAAACAGTTGGTTCATTTTAATTGACAAAAAGAGTAGTGTATAAATAATAAAATTCTTATATTTTACATATGATCCAATTGTGTCTGTAAGAAAGACAGCATTGAAGAGACTGTGTCTGTAATATTACCTCTTTATTCTCAATCATAAGCAGTCATTACAATGTATGTTATATAATAAAGCAAGCATTCCTGTCCCTCTCAGGTTGTCATAATAAAAGATACAAATATAAACAATTATTCAAACTTGAGAATCAAGTAAGCCTACTATAAACATGGTAAAAGTTTTCCGAGAATTATGTAGTTTTTACCATTGACCAAGTTGGTACCTGATCCAAGTGAACCATGATTTCTATAAGATTGTCGCTGAAATTCTTGTACCTACCATCGCTTATGGTTCATACTAGGAGTATAATAGTCTACACTTATCATTTAAAAGCATTTGCATGAATCGCTTGGAAAACTTGCAGAAATTGAAGCAGAGATTGGTGCCTATACTTGATTGTGGGTCATTCTTTTTTAAGAGAAAAACATGATAAAATCCACTATATGAATATCCAGATTTCTAAAGATTTTAAACCTCTAAAATGGATGATTGGTAAGGAACTATTATAGCCTGTGGAATCAGTAGGATATCCAAATTATAATTTGTGAGCCTGATATAAAACATCATATTGTACATAAGTGAAGGTATCTTTTAGATAGTACAGGAAAAAAATAGTAATTTTAGGCAAGGAATCTGATTTACTCTTCAGAAAATAGTTCCCTCTGTGCTACTAGATATTTTTGCTAGAAATATATAACTGTTCATCTCCAAGTCTTAATTAATAAAAATATTAGAGAGATGCCTAATGCCTTTTATTTTCAAATGAAAAGAAGATAAAATTGATATAGAACTGCAAGGTCAAGCCCTGAAAGCTTTGCTCTAGAATTGTGTGACCTCCCAGAATGATCTATATCAGTAAAGAGCCACAGGCTGCTATGTAACCACATAGTGTAAGTGTTTCTACTATATATGTGAAATTGACAGATAATTTTAATTTTTAGTTCATCGTTTACCTATAAAACACTACTTTCTCATTGTACATTCATCCAAACTGACTTGCAAAGGCACAAGGTAGTAACGATCTCCCTCTACTAATTAAAAACATGACTTACCTAAAGTTTCACTGTAAAGCTTGTTCCAATTTTTCTTATTAAATGTTTCAAGCCAAAAGTCAAAATAAATCATGCATATCATGTTTTTCACCCTTTCCATGAAAGTCATTTGACCACTTAAGCATGACATGATAACAGGTACATAAGAAGGAGGAAATAGAAGCCCTGCAGCAGCTTTTTCCACATGGAATCCAGGGGAGAAGCGAAGACTGTACACAAAAGGTAGTTTCAATAGCTCAGCCACCAGCTCTCCACAGGGCGCAGCGGGATCTGCAAGAAGGACATCAAATTTTGATGCTTGTAGTTTCGTCATAAGTTTCTTATTTGAAACTGCTTCTTTACAAACATTCTCCCAAACCCCAGAATATTCCCTAAAAGTGTCTTGCATTACTGGAGAATACTCCAAACATGTATGTATTGATCCTACATTCATCCACTTAGTGATGAACTGCATGTAAAAGTCTTCCAGTTGTTGTCTACTGATAGATGCAGTAAATGTTTCAAATTTAATAGCAGATGATGCATTAACATCAAGAAAAATAAAGCTTGAAGGTATCAGAACTGTCACATCATGTCCTCTCTGGATAAGTTCCTCTACAATGATCTTCATATTCATCCAGTGGCTGTACTCCATTGGCCATACCAGCACCTTTCCACTGCTCCCAAAGCTAAAACAACAACACAATTGTAGCAGCAGCAGAGCTGAGATCCATTTCATGGACATCTCGGTAAAATGCTGTTTTTCTTTTCAAATTGTGCTGCCTTCTGTTGTTACTCATGTCTACATTCAGGGAGGAATTGCCCAAGCAGTTAATTGATAACTTGGACTGGTCAAAATAAATATATCAAACTGACAGTCAGAGCATGTGGACTGGTGGCAGATAGAAAATACAGATATAAATTATGACGTTTTATGAGAACATTAATTTCTCTTATGATTAAGTAATTTCAGCCAGCTTAGAACCAAAGACCAGCCTGTGTCAGACACCTGTACTGTATAGGCAGTATAAAAATGCTGTGAGAACAGTGACAAATGCAAGGTGACTGTCCCTGCAGTCTTGTGACACAGATTCAATGATATAATACTTACACTAATGAAATGTAATTCTGGAGTCATGACTCAAAAACATTTTATTATAATTTTGATGATGTATAATTCAGATACATACAGTTCAATAGAGAGTCTCTGAAAATGTAATGCAGTATTTTGTGAGATACTTACAGAAATGTAACACTCTAACTCTCCAGTTTAAAGCATGCTGTCACATCCACAGACTATTTTGTGCCCTCTCTCATTACATGAGCAGAATCAAAATAAGGAAAATCAACAGTGATTTCCTGAATGTGATTGAAGCACAGTGCTAAGGTAAAGAGGATGTGGCAGGATGTTGCAGAGAACAGAATTTCACAATGGCCATATAGAAAAGGGAACTAAGCACACATCATCTATGGCCCTTCCTTCTGAGGTCCACTCAGAAGAAAGAGAGAAATGGCTTTGTAAGGGAAATATGAACAGAAGTCCCTGGGTGGTCCCATTCAGGCCACAGACACATGAGTTCTCTGTTGCTGGAAAAGCTGTGACCTTGAATCTACTTTGGTAATCTGCCAGATTACCACAGTGTTTTACTGCCCTAGGCAAAGTGCTTTAGCTGTGTCACACCCTTTACTACCCAGGCTCATCCTGCACAGGTGACTCTACTGCTTCAGTTTTGGGTTTGGGGGTTTTGTTTCCACAGTAACAGACCAGCTTCCCCACTATCTCAGCTAATCCATCTCTGAATACCAATCCGGGGTCCCTTTTGACTATCACATAGTTCTGGAAACCCCAGCCTGTGTGGTTCAGCCTGTTGAAGTCCCCAGAAAAAAATGGAGTAACTTGTCCATATACCCACTGCTTTTCGTGATCTCAGTGTGTTCCACTAATCTACCCTTGTCCCTGCCAAATAGCTGGGTAGTCTACCCTGAGTAGCTTGGCTCAGAGAAACTTTTGGAAATAAATACGCAGCATCCTGCACTGTTCCAAAATATTTCTCCAAGAATGGGAAACACTTCTATCAGCTATGATGGCTACACAGGGGAATGGTCCATCACCTTTGTCCTGCAGAAAAGATCTGTGACATTTCTCTATATTTGAAGTCCTCTTTTTCCATAGATTCACAAGTTCTGCATATTTTCACCAATACACCTCCATACAACACCTAACTTTAGGTCATAACTGTACCTCTGGCCCTGTTTAGGGTTTCCATTTAGTTTCTTTGATTGTGTACTTCTAAAAGTTTGCCTAAGAAATATCTTTTTGTCTCTTGCTGATAATTCTTTATTTTCTTTCATGGGAGTCTATGAACCTGTTCCTTCTCTCTTGGGCATGATGAGTCATGACATCTGCATCTCCACTTCATAGACTTCCTTGCATTTAAGAGAATGTTAAGAAATGGCTGTACTGCCTAACTGAATAAAATCCTACATTATTAATTGATACACAAGTTCACAATCTTGTTATAATAATTGTAACCCCATCTAAAATGGTTTGTGTATGAGTGTTTCATTCTTTCTCTAAACACATGCACACATTTACAAAAATATGCATAAGAGAGGTTATATAAGTGTTATTACATCTGCAAAAGATAAAGAGTGATCCAGTCCATTAAAATATAGGTAACAATGCCTGGTAATACTGTGTTAGATCTCTTTGTTTGTTTAGTGCAATCCTTTGTGTATTCTTTTTCTGTTCTGGTTCTCTTTTGTGGTGAAGGAAAATCTTCTTCATACGAAATAGAAGACTACCCAGAGCTCTCCTAATGTCTGAAGTAGGAAAACAGGATGGATTCAAGAGAAAGATGACCATACTCCAGAATTGGATCCTGTGTATTAGAAAATGTGCATCAGAAACTGGAAAAGCTTTGTAAGTGTGATATATATTTATGCTCTGTGAATGATAAAGTATTTCAGGTCTGCAAAAATAAAATATTACTCTAGGTGATTGAGGGAGACCACTATGAAGTGGTTCTGAGCAGGATTTCAAGTTAACAAATTGTTTTTTTATGTTTACTTGTGAGTCTGTCCAAAGCCTAGGCCCCTTGTCTAGAGATGGTTTATGGCCTCATAAGAAATGAACCTCTGTGAGTCACTAGTCTTACAGAGAGGCAAGCTTATCCTTCTGCTTACATTATACATTACATGGATGATATCTTACTGGTAGCTCCAATTAAAAAGCCTTATATGCTGATACAAAATCAGAGAAGGATCGAACCAAAAAAGAGAACTACATGCCCATCTCCATGATAAACTTAGACACAGAGGTCCTCAATGAGATAATGGCAAGCAGAATTTAGTAAGTCATCAAGGAGGTTATATACATTGACCGAGTAGGTTTCATCTCAAGGATGCAAGGATGGCTTATCATATAGAAATCAGTAAAGGTAATACACCATATTAACAGAATCAATATCACATGATCACCTCAATAGATGCAGAAAAAGCATTTGTTTTTTTTTTTTTTTTTTTGGTTTTTCTCCGGTACCGGGAACCGAACTCACGACCTTGCGCTTGCCAGGCAGGCGCTTTTGCCGCTGAGCTAAATCCCCAGCCCCAAATTTTTCCCAGTATTTTCTTTTCTTTTTTTTTTTTTTTTTTTTCAGAAAAAGCATTTGACAAAGTCCAACACTGATTCATGATAAAAATCTCACAGAAAATTGGAGTAGGTCAACCTTAACTTTACCTGTTGAAAGCCATCTATGACACATCAACAACCACATCACACTAAATGGTGAAAAACTGAAAGTTTTCACTCTAAAATCAGAAACAAGAGAAGAATGTCCACTCTCACCACTCTTCTTCAATATACTTCTGAAAACCTTAGCCAGAGCAATTAGATGGGAGAAACAAATAAATAGAATAAGGATAAGAAAAGGAAGAAATTAAATTATCATTATTTGTGGATGGCATAATTCTTTACAGAGGAGACCCCAATAAGCCTTGTAGTCACCCAAAGACTTGTGGAGTTAATAATCAAATTCAGTAGCATAGCTAGATACAAAGTTAATATTCAAAAATCAATAGCATTACTGTACACAAATGAGAAACTGAGAGAAAAATTAGACAAACTACACCTTTCATAGTAATGCCTAAAAAAGAAGAAAAATGAAAGGCTTAGGAATCAATCTAATAAAGGAAGTAAAAGAATTTTACATTGAAAATTATAGTGCTCTGTGTTTCGCTTTGAGAGCACATATATTAAAACTGGAAAATTACAGTAGTGTGATAAAGGAGATCAAAGAGGATATCAGAAAAATACCCTTATTGTAGGTAGGAAAAATAAATATAGTGAAAATGTCCATATTCCTGAAATCTAATGCAATTCTAATCGTAATACCAATAGCATGCCTTCTAGAATTAGAAAAAACAATCCTAGAATTTATTTAGAACCAGAAAATACTGAGAATAGCAAAAGCAATTCTGAGCCACAAAGGCAAAGCAGAGGCAATAAAATCTCTGGTGTGAAACTATACTACAAAGATACAATGGTTAAAAACAACAACAATGAACAAAACCTCAGATGCACAGGAAATATTACAAAGAAAAAAATAACTGGGATCTTGCCTTATTAAAAAAAAAGGCTTTTGCACAGCAAAACAAACTACCAGCTGAGTAAATAGAAAACTGACACATTGGGCAAAAATTTTTGCTAGCTGCTCCTTGAAGGACTATTATATAGAATCTATAAAGAAGTTTTAAGAAAATCAAACTTTCCCACATTTAAAGACCCAGTCCAAAAACGGGCATCTAAAATTAATAGACTCTTTTCAGATGAAGAAGTGGAAATGGCAAATAAATACATGAAAAAATGTTCAACTTCATTGGTCCATCAAAGTATGCAAATTAAAACAACACTGAGATCCCATCTCACTCCAGAAAGAATGGCTCTTATCAAGAAATCGCTGAATAATAAATGCTGGTCAGGCTAGAGGGGGAAAAGCAATTGTTCTCCATTGTTGTTGGGGGTGCACACTCGTGCAACCACTGTGGAAGTCAGTGTGGACATTCCTCAAAAAATTAGGACTAGAGTTTCCACTTGCCCCAGATAGTATCCTTCATGGTATCTTCCCAAAAGAAAGAAAAGCATCATATGACAACAATGTATGCACATCCCATGTTTTAACAGTACAGTTTGTAATACCTAAATCTTGGAATCAACAAAGTGCCCATCAATGGATGAATGAATGAAAATGATGTGAGTGTTTTTTTAGGCAATGAACTACTATTCTATCTTAAAAAGTGATAAATTAGAGATATTTATAGGTCAATGGGTGCATCTTGAGATCATAATTTAAGTAAATTGGACACATATATTTAAATATCACATTGTTTCTCTGGTGTGAAAAACTGAAAGAGTAAATAAGCACCAAAATGTATAACAGATATTGTGAAATAAGAAGACAATGTTCAAATGGGAAGGGGAACAAGAGATGTGTATGGAAAAGAGAAGGAAGGGAAAAAAACAAGAGAGTAGAAACAATGGAAACGACCCTTTTGTAAATAAGAAGGGCAAGTAGAGCTGAAGGGAGTGGAGGAGATTGGGGAAAAGTAAGAATCAAGATATATTACGTACACATACAAATTCCCTATGCTGAATGTCATCCTTATGTGTATCTAAGATGTATCTATAAAGCTAACTTTTAAAAATTCTAAATTAGAGAAAAATTGTCAATATCTGTTGTATTTTATCAGTCACCTTCATTTTCTTGCTGTATTCTTTACATATAAAATAATATATTATA